TGCTCTTACGATTATCATTATCTGTCCCCCCCCCCCCCGCCCCATGGCCCCAGAACAGGCTGCAAGGGCTGGGGGGAGTGAGCAAAGCAGGAAGGCTTCCTCCCTGCCTTCACCCCTCTCCTTCCCTCCCCTTCAACCTGCTTCTCCTTTGTGCTCAGACCACAGAACCCGCCCCTCGAGCCCTGTGAGCCATCTTCGGCTGCCATGCCCTTGCCCTGTGCCCCCCATCCCCAAAGGCCGCTTCATCACGCCTCAGCTCCCTGCCCCGCCCCCCGCCCAACATGTGCGGAGCCCGTGGCCTCCTGCCAAGGCCTGGGGCTGCCAGTGGACGCAAAGAGACAGAAATCTCACCGCTCGGTAGGTTTTCTTCTGCCCAGCGTGCTTGGGGGCTTTGCCGGGTTCCGCTGAGCTCTCCACATGCATCGAGTAGATGATGTCAAAGAAATCTTCCACCACAGCGACCCGCTTCAGAGAGATGCCCTCCGGCTCCGACAGGCCATCTGCCCCCTGCGACAGGGTGGACAAGCTGTGTTAGTGTCAGGGATGATGGCGGGGTGAGAGCTGGGCCCTGAGGCCGGGGTGACGGGTTGGGGGCAGGGACGGCGCTGCTCCCTGACCCTCCAATGCCTCCAATGGCAGGCCTGGGGGGTGGGGAGGGGGGCACCAGAATCAGGGTGGCTGCTAGCAACAATGGGCAGAGAACAACAACAATGAAAATATAAATTAAAAAACCAAGAGGCTCCATGTTCACAATTTCAGACAGATTGTGCCAGACTCGGGCGGGGAGCTCTCAAATCGCATGCTGTGCCAAGACCATCCTGGAAGCCTCTGGGGAGAGGGAGTGCTAAGTAGATGCAGCCCCATCAGGAGCTCACCAATTAGCGGTAACCTTTCACTGTGGTCCTGGGCTGGGGTCCCAGGGGACCAGCTCTGATCACCTGGGTGACTCCTGCCTCCACCCTGGCCTTTTTGAAAAGCTTTTCACCACTGCCCCGCCTCCCCACTCCAGCAGCTGAGCGCCAACAACAGCACCCGGGCTCTTTGTGTGTGGAGATGCACAGAATAACAGGCACGAGGCCACGTGGAGGTGGCAGGGCTGCGTGAGCAGACGGCCACGGCCCCGTGCCTCTTATCAGATTGGCACGAGTGCTGTCAGCTGGCCCCACAAGGTGTGCCAGGATCAAGATGGGGTCCTTCAATCGCAAACAGCTGCTGGGCTGGCGCTTGCCCTCCTGCACCAACAGAAGGAGGTGGTAGGGAGACTATAGGGCATGAGGCTGGGGGCCAGGCCAAGGCCCGTAAGGGGAGACTGCTTCGTGAGCACAGTTCCTGATTCATAGGGCACAGGATGCACATACTCAAGGACAGCAGGCTCTCAGCCATCAGTTCCCTAAGGGGAGACTGAGAGGGCTGGGGGCTTCAAAGACCAAGAGCAAGGAGTTTGGGGGAATTTGGGAAAAAGGAGATAGGCTTTTTTCTAAAAGTGCCCTAAAGACATATCTCCAAGTCAATTCTTCCCCAGATAATCCCCACTCAAGAGCATCAGCTCCATGAAAGTGTGGGCTTCATCTGTTGGTTCACAGCTATCTCTTTGGTACCTAGAACAATGCCTGGCACATAGTAGGTGCTCAATAAATAACTACTGAATGACCAATTGGTTATATGTGGCAGCTTGGCAGGATTGTTTGGACACACTCTGCCCTGATTTGAATACGACCCCATTATTTAAGTGGCCATTGACTCTGAGCCTCAGGCCCTTTGTCTATAAAACAGGGATAACAGAATCACATTTCCCATGAGCTACTGAGGGGAATAAATGAGACATGTGGGCAGCCTTAGCACCAAGCTTCACATACAGGAATTGCTTCATAAATATTGTTATTAAGAAGTGCTTTGCAGTTTTCCAAGTAACCCCCAGGTATGCTAGAGCTGAACATCGTGACAATCCCGGGAGTTTGGTAGGGTCAGGGCCTGCCTGTGGTACAGGAGCTGGTATATGATAGAGCTGGCCGAGGACCTCAGACTTCGCAGTCCGAGTAAAATACAGGCTGTGCCAGCATGGGACACTCATTCACAACACATTCTGGCCACAGAAAGGCTTTGGTTTTATCTAGCAGCTTTCCCGACATTCTGGGATAAGCAAGCAGAGCTGTCTCACTGGCCTGCTTGAGAGCCAAGAGCAGATGGGGGAGAAAGGGCAGCTGGGCATCTGGGATGTGGGGTACCGAACTCTAGAGCTAGCAGCATCCCTGAGTGGTGACCCTGGGCGATGACCCACTGACACTGTACAGACCCTTTTGCCAATGGCTTCCTTCCAAGTGGGGATCCATTTCAATGGGGACTTCTCAGTACATTTCTCTGTGTATGTGTGTGTGTATGTGCATGTGTATTCAGGAGAAGCTGCCTGTTGGTCTGGCTTCCTTACTGTGAGATTGTGGGCAAACTCTTCAACCTCCCTGCACTTCACTTATGAGATGAGCTGTAAAATTCCATGACTTTTAAACCCTCTCAGTACTTTTACCTCTTTCTTGGGGGTATTCCACCCCTCTGAAATCCTAGGCCATCTGCAAGGGATCTTCAATGACTAACTTGTTCATTAGCTGATTTGTAATTACCCAGAACTTTGGGGTTTCCAAATACTGCTGTGACAGAGTCGGGATGGGACAAATATTATGATAGGTTAGTTATAATATACATCCAACCAGAGATTCATGTTGACAAAAACAAAAAAAATGAACGTTTTTTTCTGGCACTGGCTGGTATGAGGGTTTGAACCCTTGACCTTGGTGTTATAACACCATGCTCTAATCAACTGAGCTAATCAGCCAGGCCCAAAATGAATCTTAACAATGAATATAACTGGGTTTCTATTTCTTGATCTGAGTGGTGGTTATACAGATGTGTCCATCTTATAAAAAGTCATTAAACTGAACACTTATGATCTGTGTACTTTTCTGTGTGTCTCTTAGATTTTAACTTTTTTAAATGTTAGTTTTTAAAAAAGTATAATGGGGTAACTTAATGACGTTCTGATAATCTGAATCGAGGCATAATGATGGGTTTAGCTGCTTAAATGTGAATAGACCTCCTTGCTCATAAAATTGTTTCAGGCCAGAATGCAGCTTTTTCTTGGTGGGAAGAAATGGAGAAAGAAAACAATCCGATAGAGAGACAATATTTTAGGTAGGTAAGACATAAAGTGCCCCCTAGCCAGCCCGGTGACCTTGGGTGGGTCACTTTACTTCTTTACCTCAGTTTCCTCACCTGTAAAATGGGCCTAAAAAGTCCTAGTTGGATGTTCCAGTGATCAAGTAAGAATGTAGGTCAGGCATGTGGCAAATACAAGCTTGGTAAATGTTCATCTCTTCCCCTTAGACCCACTGAGTTTCAACACTTTGTGTTTAGGAATCTGCTCTTATCTCCTGTCGCTCTGATCCATTCAGGTTACAAAATGGGTCTCCCACGGTAACACTCACCAGCAGAAGAGATGCGTAGTTTTATTTAATTCCTAAATAACATGCTAATCCTGTCCCACAAACTTAGAGTAAGCTTTTCTAAAGTCAAAGTGTAACCAATCAGCCCAGATAAAACAGTGAAACATACTGCCCAGTGCCTGGCCTGTCTCTGTCCCAGACTCCCATCTCCGTCCAAGCCTCCTTTCCTGTCTCCATTCTTAAGCAGACTCGCGTAAACAACAGCTTTGCACCTGGTCCAATGTGACCATAAAATTATCCCAGAGAAACTCTTCAGGGGAGCAATTTTCAGTAGCTCCCTCTTTAAAAATTGATCATTATCTCCCTGATGTTCAAACATGGGTCCTGTAATCCATCTATCTCTATGGCGGAGACATGCATGAAAGGAGAGGGCCTGCAGCAATGAGAATTCGAACCACACAGGGTCTGCAGAGCCAAACCTTGAGCCATCCTCTGGTGAGCTGCAGGCACCTGGAACCATGTGTGCTACACCAGGGTATCTGTGTGGCCCTCAAGGAGAACCCTGGGAAGATAGTAACAAAGGGATCCGACAGTAATCACGTGCCACAGACATCTCTGCCATGCCCTGCATCCATAGAGGTAATAACCTTCATGCTAAATGCTGCAGGAAAGGCATGCCATCCCTAGCTGAGAATCCAGACTATGCTACAAGGCAAGAGCTGCTAATTTAAGGGAGCAGAAAGCACCTTCCCCATAGCCTTGGGATGCCTCTGCCAGCCCACTTCCACCTTGTACCCAAACTAGATTAATCTAATTCATTGCCCTAAGCAAGCTGAGTACTGCATTGACAAAGGAAGTTTACTTCATTTACAGATTAGATCAAGAGGGGATCTGGAGCTTCCTCACTATCCCAGCTTCCAGGAAACACCCAGCAGAAGTGATGGAATGAGGGCCGGCCCGGTGGCGCACTCAGTAGAGGGCGGCGCTGCTGCCGAGGGTTCGGATCCCATATAGAGACCGGTCCGCTCACTGGTTGAGC